AAAAGTAAAGACAACAGCCGGCAACGGACGAAAGTAGAGGCGGGGGGAACTCCGAAGACAGCTGAAGCTGGATGGACAAGAGAGAAGGAATGAGGCTTACACAACGGGCTTGCAAGAAGGTCGACATGCGACCCGACCGACGCGGGCGACCGCTCTACCAGCCGCTGCTGCGCTCGACCTTCGATTTCGCCTTCTTCTTCCGCGGCATGGCCGTGCTCTTCGACTCGGAGCACGTGCAGGTGCTGCTCAAGGCGTGCGAGTTCCTCTACCGCCACTTCGACCTCCTCCCCGACCACCAGGCGGACAAGATGCGGACCACCATGCTGCGCGGCTGTCTGACGCGCCTGCAGCTCCACTGGTCGGCCGAGGTGCGCTCCTTCTTCGCCCACCTCCTCGTGCTGCGCCTCGAGCAGCCGTGCGCCTGGGCCGTGCCCCGCCTGCCATCCGAGCCGGCGCCCGCGCCGGTCGAGCCCGCCATCGTGCGCCAGTTCGAGGCGGCGGCCGCACGCCTCGCCTCCCTAGCGGTGCAAGCGCTCCCCGCAGAGCGCGCGCAGGAGCGCCGTGAGCAGCGGGGCCGGCCAGAGCAACCGGACGAGGGGCGGCAGCTGCAGCAGCTGCAGCCATACGCCGCGGCGGCGCTCGCCCTCTACGAGCAGCTCACTGCGGTGCGCCGCGACATGCAGCGCGACCTCTCGCTGTGGTCGCGCGGCGCCTCGAGCGCCGCGCCGCCGTCGCTGCCGACGCTCAAGTGCGACACTTCGGTGCTCGACTTGGAGGAGGACCGCGTCATATGGGTACGAGAGTCCGAACTGGGCAAGGGTATCGTCTTCGATTGACCATATGTGTAAGTCGAGAGGGAAACTACACCGATGGGGTGCGTCGTACTGGTTACTCTAGTGTTGTCGTGTACCAAATATTAGTGTGTGTATACCGTAATGTCGCGGTTTAGTGTCCAGGCAGAAACACGTGTGACACATCTGACCGACACTAACTGCGTGACGGGCTGGCGCGCGAAAGCCGAAACGCGAAACTTAGTCTGCGCTGCTCACGGTCTCAAGACTCCAGGGTAGGCTCCGCCTCACTGCATCTCGGACTGGATTCCACGAATTGATTTTCCTAGCGTCGTCAAAGTGAGCTGAAAGCTCGCTCGAAGAGCCGATGTCACCCGCCGACCGCCTCCCATCTCGCCGCTGCTCTGGCGGGGCGGCGGCGGGGCCTGGCGACGGCGCGCGGCGCATGTGCCGTGGCAACCCACCGGGCCGGCCGGCCGCGAAGGCGCCGACCGGCGATCGCCACCGCGCCCCGCCTCGGAACGCCGTTTCCGCTTGGCGTCCGAGGCGCTCGGCGTTCCCGCTGGAGCGCGAGATCGGACCGGGTCTGACGCTCCTTTTCTCGCCGTAGGCACGGCTGGCCGGCTGGACCAGCGGAAAAACAAAAATCGAATACGTCAATCCTCTCCGGCCAGCCTCGGGCTAATTAAAGCCGCAAAAAATCGGAAGGTTCCGCCGCCCCGGATTCCACCTCCCTGGCCCTCCACGCCCCGCGCGCGCGACCGTATCACCGCCGCAGTCGGCCTCCCCGCCCCGCGCGCTGTAGGAGCGGCGCCCACCCACCGGAGACGCCTTCCCCTAGACCGCCCGACCACCCCACCCCCTTCGGCAGGTGCCTCGCACGTATTTCGAGCGCGAGAGGCCTCCTTGAG